ACACCAGGACAAGTAAAGAGAGTGTATGCACCTCCACAACATCTCCATAATATGCAAATTCTTAACCAATTACACTGCAAAACTTCTATTTCACCCCCGGGTTATCTCTTGTCCTGACTACTGCAACTCATTCCTCATTGGATTACCTTTACATAGGCTATCCCCCCATTATGAAAGCTGCTGCTAGACTAATCCACCTTACCAACCATACAGCATCGTCCACCCCTCTCTGCCAATCCCCCCCTCCCCCATTGGCTTCCACCCACCCAAAAAAATAAAATTCAAGACACTGCCAACCACTTACAAACCCATCCACAACTCGGCCCCCAGCTACATCACTAACCTAGTCTTAAAATCCAGCCAAATCACTCTCTTTGCTTCTCCTATGACCTCCTGCTCTATGGCTCCCTCGCCACCTCCTCCCATGCTCTCCTCAGGACATCTCAAGAGCCTCCCCATCTTTTGGAACACCTTACCCCAATCTGTCCAACTGTCTCCTACTCTGTCCACATTTAGATGATCTCTGAATACCCTTCTATTTAGAGAAGCCTATCCTGTCTCCACCTAACAATTGTACGCTTAATTTCTCCATTAGCTCTTCCCCCACAGTTATTACCTTTTGTATCACTTGACCCTCCATTTTAAATTTTAAGCTCTTAGAGCAGGGCCCTCTGATTTCTCCAGTATTGAATTGTATTGTAACCAGGGGCGGACTGACAACTCATGGGGCCCCCGGGCAATAGGGGATCACGGGGCCCCTGTGTCCTTGCCCAAACTCAAAAAAGCCTATGAAAAAGGTACCAGGGTCATCTCATGGGGCCCCCTACTGACCCTGAGCCCTCGGGCAGGGCCCGAGTTTCCAAATGGTAAATCCGCCTCTGATTGTAACTATACTGTCTGCCCTCTTGTTGTAAAGCACTGCGCAAACTGTTGCGCTTTATAAATCCTGAATAATAATAATGCACTGCCATAGACAGTGACAACAATAAAAACCGGACAGGGGTTCTAAACCCTCACCATTCTATAAAAAAAAAAAAACTTTTTTGCTTTAGATAAACTTATGTTATATGTACATTTATGTTACCATCATAAAATTAATATCCCTCTTTAGAGTACAGTTGTGGCTACCCTGAAATTAACAAATCTAATACGATCATTGCATTTAAACACTCACACATGCTTGCACTGTGCTACCTACACACAGTTCTAACTCTCACCTTCTGTAGACTTTAGTAAGGACAAATAAAATTGTCTTTGTATTTACTTTCATTCTTTCTTTTGTTGTATTGCATTATTGTATTTTATCACTCTTTAACAGATAATTTTACATTTGGACGCAAAATGAATTGGCAACCCATCCCAAACATGACTCAATACATTTTTTAGTTTTAGATAGGAGTAGGGAAGGATTAAAACCCCCATCAAGTTATTTTCTGCTGACTGTGTCCCCCTGGGGAGATTGTTCTTCACTTGCTGTCCTAGAGATGCAAGGAGAAATTAGAGGAAATCTCTCCAAATTGAACAATTTATTTTAGAGCATGTCATAGACCAGGTGGCACCATTGGAGAAATTTTCTCTTAACTAATCAGCATTAAAAGCTACCAGGACAAAATCGAAAGGGTGAGTCTTCCCAGCGGGACAAGAGACAGCAATAATAACATGCACTTTATGAGTTTAAAGTATAGGGTAGCCAAACTTTTTCAGGGAAAGATTGGGTTAGATTGTATAAAAAAGTACAGTTATGCTTTAATATCAAACAATGAATAAAATAGGACCACAGCTGGGTGCTTTGTAGCATGATGTGATAAAAAGGTTAAAGCAAAAATAAATAAAAAATGCTCAAATACCATGAAAATCGCCATAAGGCATGTTTCCAGTTACGTCACTTTTAATGCAATGTAAGAGATTCTATAAGCTCCTTGAAATCCTCTAATTGATTTGACCCTGAAACCGAAATATTAAAAATCAGGTCAGATTTTCCATGAAGAACGTACCTTTTAGATAATCATCACCGAAAAGATGTGCAATTTCCTCATTCTGAGCAGCATAATGAAAAAAAAAAAAAAAATAAGAAGGAAAAAGATCTGATTAAATGCAAAAAGACATCTTGGATAAAATTTGAGGATGCAACACAAAGTCCAATACAGATTTATGACTTAAGGAAATTAGATTTGTGGAGCTGATGCACTGCATTGCAACCTGCAAGAATTCTGTTCAGTTTCTACTAGTGGATTTTTCCTTGCAGTTGACTGACTGAGAGGTTGATCATTAAACTTCCATACATTTTGAATCAAAAGTATGGCCAAAAGTACGTTGACACCCCTTTAAATTATGGGGCTCAGGGAATTTCCAGTGAAGGCTACTGTTACAAAGAAAAGTTTACTAATTATCTTAACATAAACATATATATATCTAAAAAAACCATATATAAGGTGCAGCGCTATAATAGTAAAATGGCATATATAACATATTAAATATATATAATAAAGTGCAAATGTCAAATCACACTGCGGTGAGGTTAAGTGAGATGAACAAGTCCCAAAATAGGTCAAACGTGGTGATCCAATAGATCCTAGTAGGTGCGTGGGATGCGATTCTGTGTATCACACGGTGAATCTGAGGTAAAAATTACGCACTCACCAGAAGTGCGTCAAAAAAATGCATGTAAGATTTATCCTGTGGTATCAGACAGCGGGATCATCAATTGCCAAGATTAGGGACAGGATCTACACCTTCCAATCGCACCTTGGGTATTTACTTCAAATTTTCATATGCGTGTCTCAGGCGTGTCACCATCCGGGTTTGGCGTCCCCTTTTAGAGCAGATTCTGTGCAAGTGGGGACTCTATTACAGGAGATGGTCTTTGACTGCAGACATATCTCAGCGATTCTGCCCACATATCGCTAGATGTGAACAGGGCCTAACCCAACAGCAATGGACACTCAATCATCAACTTTGCCAGTTTCCACAGCCACACAATCTCTTCAGGCTCTAATTATCTGGACTGGAAAAGGAAAAGTAGCAAACCACCAGTCCGGCAGATACAGAGCAAGCGTCAAGCACTCTCCAGCTCTTCCCCCAAAGCTCCCCTCTTTTTAATTATCTAAAATATGCTCAAGCATCCCACCCTGCCTCCTAGACTAGCCTAAACTTAGCATACCACTTGGTGTTACTTACCTCCTCCAATTATACATTGGGTTTTAGATAGATAGCGAACTTGTCCTCCAATGCTATAGCATACAGTACACAGTTATTTGAGACATTTCTGCACTTCCAACCTCATTACAATAGTTTGGTAGAGGCCATTTTCAGAGTTTCCGTTGTTTTCTAGAGATGCTATTTTTTTAAATGAATTCTTTATTTTAGTCAAACCTATCACCTGACAGTACTAGAGATGAGCGAATTATTCAAAAATTCGATTCGGCTGATTCGGCGAATTCGCGGAATAAAATTCGATTCGAGTCGAATATATTCGATCTGCGAATTTACTTATAAAAAGGGTGTTTTCTAGGCTTCAGAGAGCCTTTATATTAGTGCCAGAACACTGTACCTTTAATTTTAAATGCCCTTGGAGTCTGCTGGGGAAGAGAAATAATACTGTCAGTCAGTATGACATGCAGATGAGTGCCGTCGATCTTAGAATCACCACACACTTCACTCATTTGGGGGCAGTCACGGGGGCCAAAACCAGAGTGTGGAGCCACAGTGTGGCGGTGGAGCAGCAGCAGCAATGGGAGGCCATACAGCACCCTATGAAAAAAATGGAACACCACCAGCAGTGTGAGGAGACCTGAAAGTGGCACATGGCAGAGTGTGGCGATGGAGACAGCAGCAATGGGAGGCCGACCGTAACAGGGACCCATGACACACTCTGGACCTGGCAGCAGCATGAGGAGGCGGTACAGGGGCACCATGACAGATTACGGGCCTGGCAGCAGCAATGAGGAGTCGGTACGGGGAACCCATGGCAGATTACGGGCCTGGCAGCTAGCAATGGGAGGCCATTACAACACCCTTTGACAAAATGGAACCCACCAGCAGTGTGAGGAGACCTGAAAGTGGCCACATGGCAGAGTGTGGCGATGGAGACAGCAGCAGATGAGAGGCCGTACAGGGACCCATGACACACTCTGGACCTGGCAGCAGCATGAGGAGGCGGGTACAGGGGCCCATGACAGATTAGGGACTGGCCAGCAGCATGAGGAGTCGGTACGGGGGCCCATGGCAGATTACGGGCCTTGCAGCGCAGCAATGGGAGGCCGTACAGGGACCCATGACACACTCTGGACCTGGCAGCAGCATGAGGAGGCGGTACAGGGGCCCATGGCAGATTACGGGCCTTTGGCAGCAGCAATGGGAGGCCCGTAATCTGCCAGCACCCTATGACAAAATGGAACCCACCAGCAGTGTGAGGAGACCTGAAAGTGGCACATGGCAGAGTGTGGCGGATGGAGACAGCAGCAATGGAGGCCGCGTACAGGGACCCATGACACACTCTGGACCTGGCAGCAGCATGAGGAGGCGGGTGGTACAGGGGCCCATGACAGATTACGGGTTCCTGGGCAGCAGCATGAGGAGTCGGTACAGGGGCCCATGGCAGAATTACGGGTGCCTGTGCAGCAGAGCAATGGGGAGGCCGTACAGGGACCCATGACACACTCTGGAAGCCTGGCAGCAGCATGAGGAGGGCGGTGGCTAAGTATCAGGGGCCCATGACAGATTACGGGCCTGGCAGCAGCATGATGGAGTCGGTACGGGGGGCCCATGGCAGATTACGGGCCTGGCAGCAGCAATGGGAGGGCCCGTAATCTGCCTGCACCCTATGACAAAATGGAACCCACCAAGCAGTGTGAGGAGACCTGAAAGTGGCACATGGCAGAGTGTGGCGTATGGAGACAGCAGCAATGGGAGGCCGTACAGGGACCCCATGACACAACTCTGGACCTGGCAGCAGCAATGAGGAGGCGGGGGGTACAGGGGCCCATGACAGATTACGGGCCTTTGGCGAGCAGCATGAGGAGTCGGTACGGGGGCCCATGGCAGATTACGGGCCTGGCAGCAGCAATGGGAGAGGCCCGTAATCTGCAGCACCCTATGACAAAATGGAACCACCAGCAGTGTGAGGAGACCTGAAAGTGGCACATGGCAGAGTGTGGCGATGGAGGACAGCAGCAATGGGAGGGCCGTACAGGGGACCCATGACACACTCTGGACCTGGCAGCAGCATGAGGAGGCGGGGTACAGGGGCCATGACAGATTACGGGCCTGGGCAGCAGCATGAGGAGTCGGTACGGGGGCCCATGGCAGATTACGGGCCTGGCAGCAGCAATGGGAGGCCCGTAATTCTGCCAGCACCCTATGACAAAATTGGAACCCACCAGCAGTGTGAGGAGACCTGAAAGTGGCAACATGGCAGAGTGTGGCGATGGGAGACAGCAGCAATGGGAGGGCCGTACAGGGACCCATGACACACTCTGGACTGGCAGCAGCATGAGGATGGCGGTACAGGGGCCCATGACAGATTACGGGCCTGGCAGCAGCATGAGGAGTCGGTACGGGGACCCATGGCAGAAGATACGGGCCTGGCAGCAGCAATGGGAGGCCATACAACACCCTATGACAAAATGGAACCACCAGCAGTGTGAGGAAGACCTGAAAGTGGCACATGGCAGAGTGTGGCGATGGAGACAGCAGCAATGGAGGCCGTACAGGGACCCATGACACACTCTGGACCTGGCAGCAGCATGAGGAGGCGGTACAGGGGCCCATGACAGATTACGGGCCTGGCAGCAGCATGAGGAGTCGGTACGGGGGCCCATGGCAGATTAGGGCCTGGCAGCAGGCCATGGCGGGAGGCCGTACAGGGACCATGGACACACTCTGGACCTTAGGCCAGCAGCATGAGGAGGCTGGGCGGTTTAGGGGCCCATGGCCAGATTACGGACCTGGCAGCAGCAATGGGAAGGCCCGTAATCTGCCAGCACCCTATGGACAAAATGAAAACCACCAGCAGTTGTGAGGAGACCTGAAAGTGGCACATGGCAGAGTGTGGCGATGGATGGACAGCAGCTATGGGAGGCCCGTACAGGGGAGCCCAAGGACACACTCTGGACCTGGGCAGCCAGCAATGAGGAGGGCGGTTTAGGTACAGGGGGCCCATGACAGATTTACGGGCCTTGGCAGCAGCGTGAGGAGTCAGTACATGGTGCCCATGGCAGATTACGGGCCTGTTTATAAACACAACATTTTTTTTCCCCCCCCCCCCCTTGGGGGGGGGGGGACGCGGGTGGGTGGGGGCGGGCATGCAGCAATGGCGAGGCCATACAGGGACCCATGTTGACACACACTTGGACCTGGCAGCAGCAATGAGGAGGCGGTGGGTACAGAGGTGCCCATGACAGATTTACGGGTCCTGGCAGCAGCATATGAGTTAGAGTCGGTACGGGGGCCCATGGCAGATTACGGGCCTGGCAGCGAAGCAATGGGAGGCCCGTAATCTGCCAGCACCCTATGACAAAATGGAACCCACCAGCAGTGTGAGGAGACCTGAAAGTGGCACATGGCAGAGTTGTGGCGATTGGGACAGCGCAATGGGGGGCCGTACAGGGACCCCTGGGCACCCCTCTGGACCTGGGGGAGGAAGCATGAGGAGGGGGGGGGTTACAGGGGGGGCCCCTGGGCAGATTAGGGCCTGGCACAGCATGAGGAGTCGGTTTGGGGGGGGGATGGCAGATTACGGGCCTTTGGGGAAACCGCAATTTGGGGGCCCCTTTAAATTTTCCAAACACCCCATGACAAAAGGAAAACCCCCCGGGAGTGTGAGGAGACCTTTAAAATGGGGACATGGCAAAAGTTTTTGGCGATGGAGGAAAAGAGCAATGGGAGGCCGTTTCAGGGACCCCTGAAACCCCTCTGGACCTGGCAGCAGGGATGAGGAGGGGGGGAAAAGGGGCCCTTGGGCAGATTACGGGCCTGGGAGCAGCTTTAGGGTCGGTTTCGGGGGCCCTGGCAGGGTTAGGGCCTTTGGGAGCGCAATGGGAGGCCCGTACAGGGGGCCCATGACACACTCTGGAACCCGGCGCGGGATGAGGAGTCGGTACGGGGGGCCCCTGGCAGATTCGGGGGCCCGGCTGCAGCAATGGAGGCCCCTTTAACTGCCCCGCACCCCATGGGCAAAATGGAAAACCCCCCAGCAGTGTGGGAGACCTGAAAGTGGCACATGGGGAAAGGGGTGGCGATGGAGACAGCGCAATGGGAGGCCGTACAGGGACCCCTGGGGCACAATTGGACCTTGGGGGAGCGGCATGAGGAGGCGGTACAGGGGCCCCCTGACAGATTAAGGGCCTGGCAGCAAAATGAGGAGTTGGTCGGGGGGGGCCCCTGGCCGATTAAAGGGCCCCGGCAGCAGCAATGGGAGGCCCAAAACAGCCCCTATGACAAAATGGACCCCCCAGCAGTGTGGGAGACCCGAAGTGGCACATGGGAGGGGTGGGCGATGGAGAAAAACAAAAATGGGAGGCCGTACAGGGACCTGACACACTTGGACCTTTTGGGAGCAGATGAGGAGGGCGGTTCAGGGGGGGCCCCTGACCCGATTAAGGGCCTGGGCAGCAAAGAGGAGTCCGGGCGGGGGGCCCATGGCAGATTACGGGCCCCGGGGGGAAACAGCAATTTGGGGGGGCCCTTCAGGGAAACCCCTGACACCCCTCTGGACCCGGCAGCAGCATTTAGGAGGCGGGACAGGGGCCCCTTTACAGATTACGGGCCCGGGAGCAGCATGAGGAGTCGGTACGGGGGCCCCTGGCAGATTACGGGCCTGGCAGCGCAAAGGGAGGCCCGTAATTTGCCAGCACCCTATGACAAAAAAGGAACCCCCCAACAGGGGGTTGGGGGAGACCTGAAAGTGGCACATGGCAGAGTGTGGCGATGGAGACAGCAGCAATGGGGGGCCCTTTCAGGGACCCCTGACACCTCTGGACCTTGGGCCGCAAACATGAGGAGGCGGTACAGGGGGGCCCCTGACAGATTAGGGACCCGGCCGCAGCATGAGGAGTCGGTTTCCGGGGGGCCCATGGCAGATTTCGGGCCTGGGAGCAGCAATGGGGGCCCGTAATCTGCCAGCACCCTATGAAAAAAAAGGGAAAACCCCAAACAGTTTTGAGGAGACCTGAAAATGGCACAGGGGAGAGTGTGGGGGTGGAGACAGCAGCAATGGGAGGCCGTACGGGAACCCCTGACACACTCTGGACCTTTGGGAGCAGCAAAGAGGGGCGGTTTCAGGGGCCCATTTTCAGATTTTCGGGCCCCCGGCGCAGCAAGGGGGGTCGGTTTCGGGGGCCCATGGCAGATTTCGGGCCTTTGGGAGCGCCAAAAGGGAGGGCCGTAAGGGGCCCTGGGCACACTCGGACCGGGGAGCAGATGAGGGGGCGGGGGGGACAGGGGCCCCGACGGGTTACGGGCCTTTGGGAGCAGCTATGAGGAGTCGGTACGGGGGCCCCCTGGGGAAATTAAAGGGCCCCCCGGCTGCAGCAATGGGGGGGGCCCGTAATCGCCAGAACCCCATGAAAAAAAAATGGAAAACCCCCCAGCAGTTTAGGGAGACCTGAAAGTGGCACATGGCAGAGTGTGGCGATGGAGACAGCGCAATGGGGGGCCGTAAAGGGGGCCCCCTGACACACTTGGGGCCTTGGCAAACAGCATGAGGAGGGGGGGGGGGGGGTACAGGGGGCCCCTGACAAAATTACGGGGCCCGGGGAGAGCATTGGGGGAAAATCGGTACGGGGGGCCCCTGGGGATTAGGGCCCGGCCCCCGCGCAAAGGGGGGTCCCCTAATTGCCCGCCCCCTTTTAAAAATGGAACCCAACCCCGCCCCCGGTGAGGAGACCCGAAAGTGGCACCAAAGGCCAGGGGAGTGTGGCGATTTGGGGACAGCAGAAAATGGGGAAAGGCCCTTTGGGGGCCCCTGAAAACACTTGGGCCTGGCAAACAGCAGAGGAGGGGTAAAAGGGGCCAGCAGATTTTCGGGCTGGCAGCAGCATGAGGAGTCGGTTCCCGGGGGCCCATGGCGATTTCGGG